TTGAAAATTTAGATTTTTCATATGTTTTACTATATGATCTCCAAAAATTCCGGAGACTTTTGTCAGGGGAGTGTATATAAGGATTGCTTTTATGGGAGAATCCAAATGAAAACAATAAGTTACAGTACAATCGCCAAATTTTATAACTATTTGAGGTTAGCTTAGAACTACTGTCATGCCTGGGATAATTTTTTTAACAGCAAGCAAAGATAGTTACAACATTTGAAAAGCGACCTATAACAAAAATACTGCTGCACATTTGTTCCTCTGCTTATAAATACACGTCGTGGTACGGAAGGCGAAGATACGTCGGTATGCATAAAAATGGTCGCATAGAAGGTTAGTGCAAAATATTGATTTGGGAAAAGATGCTCGTAAACGACGAATAAAAAATATCATGCATCAAGTAATGAAGGCAATAATTTACTATACGGTAAATAAAATGAAAATGATGTCATTACTGTTTTACAATGCTAACTAAAATATGCAAGTTGAATTTAGCAAATTTGTTTCGTTACAAGATTTATCTTTGATGAACATGTGTTTCCTTTAAATTTTCTAATATACATATATCAAGCTATTGTAGGCGCCTTGTTCTGTCCTTAAGGAGAAAGCATACCTAAATATTTTATTAAATGTCCCTCACGAGCATCTATGTTACCAGTTGTCGGCTGATTGTAAGCCGCAAATAGTCCATCGATTACACTGCTGCATTGGCCCTAGCAGTCCTTATTCCTCCAAGGTTTTGCAGAAATTTAGCGAAACAATTCCTGCATCAGTAAATATCGGTTCGATACCGAAACGGTCAGTCGAATTGAGTGACAGGAATACCCATGGTTGCGATGTTTGTGGAAGATTTCCTCCCGGGTAAGGGCTCCAAAGGCCCTAATAAGGGAGTAAGGAGTGAGCGGAGATAGTGGTTGATGTTATGGACTTGTGGGAGAGTTGGACAGTTGAAGAGTTGGAGAGTTGAGTTAATAATTTGTGCCTGCGAATTCCTTTAAATCTCCAGGATAATCAGATTGGAGTTACATGAGCAACAGCTTTGACAAAGGCTCTAGAATAAAATTCCTCTAAAAATACAATAAACATTTAGGAACGTGTATAATAAAGAAGTAACAAAAAATAATAATAATCAGAATAACGCTCGGTTCAGAAATAATATACTTACGATTTGTTGTAACTGTTGTATACGATTGTCCAACTGTGGTGTACACGAGTGTCCAATGTTTTGTATTTGTTGCACTTGTTGTCCAAGGTCAACTACGGGTAGATTAGGAATATTTACAACTTTGGTTGCTAGTGCTTGGAAGGCGTTTGCAATATTTATATGCAAGTAAAAGTTATAAAAAAGTCGTCGGGTCGAGCCGAATACTCTCTGATATCGAAAATTTCTTATAACGAGAGCCATTAGTTAGAAGATGTTAAATCGAGTCCAGCAAAAATCTTTCTTATGGACCATATTTCTTATATCGAAGGTTTCTTATACTTGTGTTAGGTTGTCGCGCCATTATATCAGTAAACTAGTGAAGCAAAGTGAGATTGTGAGTATAAGGTAGAGTGTGTTATATACTGTATTTATAGTAAATTCTTATTATGATCGCGTATAGGAACTCCGAAATCAGTGCAGATTTATGATGGGGGTGTGTAAATATAAATAGTCGCAGATTGTGACAGCATTTCATCGAGGGGGGTAAGGCGCGTCGAACTTATTTTGTTGAAAATTAGAAAGGAGATTACTGAGTTAGATATTAGTGGACAAAAGTTAGAAGGTGCCTTAGGATTTGCTAATTTAGAGATATTGGATTGTGCTGGACGAAAAAAAAACGAAGACGATTATTGAGTTAAAGATTAAACTGGCGAGCCTTAGAAAGAGACAAATGGCGAGAACGAAGGGCTTGTTTTCGGAACTATACGGCAGAGTTGTCGCGTTAGACCATTGACCGCAATGGAATTTTATAGTCTTCCATTGGTTCATCGACCACAGAATGCTATTTTGTTATCATTATTACATTATGGAGATTTTTTCGATTACAAATGAATCCTCAATTGATCAAGTCAATTGACCCAATGGAGTTGAATAACTCATGTAACCAACAAACTAAATTTATACCAATAGATTCAATGGATATTACAAAAAAATAGTACATTAACTGAATAATGGATCCACTAGTTTTCAACGGATTGACTTGTTCGGTAGATCGCGTTGTTTCTCCATCCGTTGCGCCAACACCCAAAATCAGTAAACAGACCGCATTTGGATTTCCGGCAGACTTTGCACTACCAAACGGTATAACTCGCGCAAAACGCAGTCGCTACTTTAAATCAATTTGATTAATTATGCATAATGCCATCAGATAGTTACCGTAGAGCACTGAATATAGTACCCCGGGTACATATCTAGAACACCTCAAGTTTTTGAATTGTACCCGGGGG